AACAATTAAGCATAACATCAAATACAATAGAAAAACGACCCAAGCTCTGATACCACTGATGAGTTTTGAGCATAACAACAATCCTATGGTGCACATGTAAACCATAAAGCTTTGGATCTAGTTTTCCTAATTGTACATGCAATAATCATGCAAAGCTTATAAACCCTAATCTAACATGCTATTTTCGAAATTAACATAATAAACAAGTTAGAATAATACCTTTGATTGTAGTTTGAAGATCTTCAACCTTTGAGAGCTTAGTATCACAAGTGTAATACCTCTAATCGATCACAAACACCAATAACAATGGAGGAATGTTAGAGAGAGGTTAAGGATACTAATTTTCGACTCTAAGATCCTTCTAGGGTTCAAGTGGCTGAAAATATGATGCCCAAGGGTTCCTTATATAGCTGAAGTATTAGGGTTTCACTCAAATACCTAATCTGGTTACTTAAGCCCTAAGCAACCCATAAGACCTTTCCAAAACCCTTACCTTGGATGAATTCCTTATGGGCTATCCATAAGATTTTGTCTATCCCTTAACTTAGGGATCCTTAACCCACTTTGCAAGTATCTTATAATTACAATATCAATCCCCTTAATTTAATTAATATCTTTTGACCACACAATCAATTCTAAATTAATTATTGACCTACATTAGTTAAATAATATGATTTCTCTTTTAATATATTGATAAACCATAATTAACCCCTTTCTCCATTATTCATCCAGTTAAGTTGCTTTGGTGAAGGCAACCCGAAAGGAGCATGCTACTATCAGGTCAAGTACGTACCAATTATAGTTATGGGCTTAGACATCCAATCCAACATCTGTATCTTGGTATATAGGATGTTGTTATGTAGTAGTGATCTGTAGAACTGTAGGTTTATCTATACTTCCTGGTTATCAACTAGTGAAGTGTCTTAGGGATTGTATGTAGTCATGTAGGATAGCCTGAGAACTCTTGACATAGGCTCTCTTGCATGTTCCTTGTTTGGTTGTGGCTTTAGAGTAGGATCATCTATTCTGGTGACTATCTCACCTCTAGGTACTTATGGTTACACATTACATGGAGGTTAACTAGTAGCGGGACTGTGTGCTGTGAGAGGACTAGTAGGCGGTATTGAGTTGTATGATAGTAGTTTAGATGTATTATGTGCCTACTTGATCCTGATTGTTTATATATATATATATATATATATATATATATATATATATATATATATATATATACATACATACTAGGTTATAACCCGTGGAAACCACGGTTATAAAATAAATTAAATATTTATAAAAAAACTTATAATTACTAATCAATTATTGTAAATAAATTATTAATTAAGATATATATTTTTGTATTTATATAAAATTATAATCATTGTTTTAAATGAAAATGTGAAATATATTTTGAAGATATATATCAGATAATATTTATTTGTGAAGTAATGAAGAAAAATAACAATAAATTCGTGATTTTATATATATATATATATATATATATATATATATATATATATATATATATATATATATATATATATATATATATATATAAAAGAGTATCAGATTTGCCACGTGTCAATCAATTAGAGCTTGAAATAAATTATTTGTCACTTGTCAGTCTTTGGTTTTTTCTCATTAATTACAATTCCACTAATTCACTCCTCCCTTTTACACAGATAAAACACGTCAGCAAAAAATTAATTTGTAATATTTATTGCCTAATTTATTACAATAACCCTTAATCAATAAATGTAATTTCAAACAATCACGTCATCTTTATACAATCCCTTCAAATATACTAAATCTCATAACACGTATTCATTTTTACAATCTAATTTTCAAATTTTCAAATAAAACAATGTTAACAACTGTACAATATACTCAATATATATATATAAATATTTACCTCATCTGTAGTGAATATTCACGAATTTATTGTTATTTTTCTTCATTACTTCACAAATAAATATTGTCTGATATATATCTTCAAAATATATTTCACATTTTCATTTAAAACAATGATTTTAATTTTATATAAATACAAATATATATATATATATATATATATATATATATATATATATATATATATATATATATCTTAATTAATAATTTATTTACAATAATTGATTAGTAATTATAAGTTTTTTTATAAATATTTAATTTATTTTATAACCGTGGTTCCCACGGGTTATAACCTAATATATATATATATATATCGACATATGGTAGTAGTGGGTAGAGGTGGTCCTATTTTATGTTGTAGTCCAAGACATCCGGTGCGGGCCGGCTGTAAGCCGTTGGCACGGAGGTTCGGGAAGAGCGGTTGGGTTGAGGCGATAGGCCAACAAACCTTGGTTATTTTAGCCCGATGGCATATTGGACCCGTTGCATGTTGGCAATCCAATCTAAGGACTGATTGGGCATGGGCATTCCAACCGGGAGGTTGTGGGCTGTTATGCATGGTTGTATGTTTACTATATAAGGTATTTAGGGGAAAATTACTAAGCTTTATGCTTACCCAGTTTTTTATTGGTTTATGTATCATAGGTTATCATGAGAAGGCAAATGAGTGATTGTACACATTCACCAACAACAATGAAGATTTTGCACCTTAATATTACTCTGATTTTCTCTAATAAATGTATTTAAAATAAGCAGTTCTCTTCATAACGGATTTATAATTAGGAAACTTTACTTATATAAAAATGAAAAATTTTCATTGTGAAATTGGGACGTTACAATTAGGGATGAAAAAAAACCCATACTCGAATTCCTGACAGACTGGAATTCCTTAATAAATTCCAATTCCTTCAAAAACATTATACGAACCAAACGTCACCTAAAACTCACACCCGTTTTGACTGAAGAATCACCAAGTTAATCACGGATAGAGAATCCTCGAATAAAAAAGTAAGGATGGTAATGAGATACCCATATCTTTGACCCTAGTATATATTCATATATAAAAATAATATAAAATGTATATTTATAGTATATTTTATAATACTTAAAACTTGATCAAAGTAACTCAATTTAATAGTAATTACTTTGTTGAAATTTTATTTTCCCTTTTTTCTTTTATCTAATTTAACCTCGTGTATACATTCTTTTCTTCCTTCATTTATCTATTCACTAAATATCAATTTAATATATATTTTTTTTATATTTGATTTTTATTTATGTATTTAAATTTGGTAGAAAAATTGTTTATAGTTTTTATGAAAATTTTGAGATTTTTTATGTTTTTAAAATTTTTTAAAATTATGTTAGTAAAATTGAAATTTAAAGTTTTTTCTTTGCATAAAAGTTTTCATAGTAAAAGAAAAAAAAAAACTTTCGATTTCCCGTTGAGATGGGATCCCTAATCCCTGTTGACGGTTGCAATAAAGATTCATTTATATTCAACAATTGGGATGAGAATATGAAATAAGGATCCAGAGAAGTGGATGGCGTCCATAATTCCGTATCATCGTATGTTCTCTGCTCTCTCCATCTCTAAATTCTAATAAGGTTGTATTACTTATTTTAAATAAAATAATAACATAAGTTTTTACTTAATTTTTCTATAAACATATATTATTTTAAATTATACATTAATTACATTTATAATAGATTTTGGGACCCGCAACCCTGTAGCACCCCCACCTCCACTCCGTCTTCCTCACACGCCGGTAGAACTCTTACCATCGTCTTCACCAACCACCGTCCCTTCTCCCTTTCCCTTTCTTCCACGTCCCCACCGGTGATGCCCCCCCCCCCCTTCCACCCACCCACCCACCCACCTAGCAGTGGTTTTTGGTGGGTCAAGTTACTTAAAATCCCCGATTTCTGTTTCTGTTATCGATTCGAAAACAAACTTAGCTACGAAAACCCTAAATTGAGATACAGAGAAGTCACCACTCTACAATGACTCCATGGGCTTCCAATCCGGATCTCTATGCTCTGATTATTTATCACTTCTTTCAAATCTGTACCTATCTTTTTCTCTCTAATCCAATTCTGAAAGTGGAGGTTGAATCTAAACGGAAAACATCTCCCGTTAAATTTGAGAGGCACTCTTCGATCAACTGGAAAACATCTCCCGTTACTCTTGAGTCCTATTATTTATTGGCATTTGGGACCGAGTTGAACTTCGTAAATGGTGTCTTCTTTTATGATATTATAATCTTAATTGAGTGTTTTTTGTGGGGGGCAAAAGTCCTTCTTATAAAAGGATTTTTTACAAAAGTTAATTTTTTTTAAGGGAAAAATCAAAAGTTAAAGTGTTTTGTTTAATTTTTACTTGAAAAATGATTAAAAATGACATGTTTACATATTTATTGAGGGTAGATGGAGATATAAAAGTAATTTTAATGTTTAACACTGCTGAAAAATTACAAAAATCATGATTTCTTGACTTTTCAAAAAGATCAAATTTACTCTATTGGAAAAGATCATTTTGAGAAGTGTTTCTCATCTTCCCAAACATTTTTATGACTTTTTCTAAAAAAAAAAAAAAAAAGTCAAAAAAATCATTTTAAAAATTAAACCAAACACCCTCTAAATCTTTGCATTTGATCTCTTCACGTGTTTTGGAAAATAGCTAAAACTAGTGAAGCATAATGCTTGACATCATACTATTGCGTTTTTTTTTTCTTCTTCTGCCACAATTGCAAGCTGATAAATTCAAGGACCAAATAGTGAAATAGGGATCAAAAGGTCCTTTTTTTTTTAGCAGGACCAAAAAAAACCCTCTGGACAAAAAGTTGTACTAGTTTTCTTTCTATTATGTGACAAAATAATTTCCCATTCTATTTTCACAATAAAAAATTCCAAGTTTAACAAAAAGCCTCCTTTATTTCCATTTCATTGTTTCAAATGAAAATGGTCCCATCCAGAAATTTCATCTGTATTTTCTTTAATAGACGTCATTGGAAATTTCTTGGAAACTCACTTCTCTTTATATAAAGCTCCATTGAGGTGCTTAAACCACACACATTCTATCCCAACATATCCACAAATTAATGGCATCTTCATCATCATCATCTCAGCCATGGGAGTACCATGTTTTCCTTAGTTTTAGAGGAGAAGATACTCGTCAGAATCTTGTGGGCCATCTCTACAAAGCTCTTGTAGAAAAAGGGATCTACACTTACAAGGATGATGAAACACTTCCTAGTGGCGAATCGATCAGTCCAGCCCTTATGAAGGCTATCGAGGGATCACAACTTGCTGTCATCGTATTCTCTGAAAATTATGCAGATTCATCATGGTGTTTAGAGGAACTTTCACATATTATGGAATGCAAGGAAACGAGAGGCCAAATCGTTATGCCTATATTTTACGACGTGGATCCGTCTTATGTGCGAAATCAAAAAGAAAAATATGGAGAAGCATTTGCCAAACACGAGCTCAAGAACACTGACAAAATCAAATCTTTGGTTCAGGCATTTATAATTGACCCTTGTGGGTGGTTATTTGCACCGTTTGAACGAAAAAGGGAATATGATGAAGAATATACCAAACAGCACTCGGAGAATAAGACAAAGGTTGAATCATGGAGAAAAGCAATCGTGGATGCAAGTAACATATCTGGATGGTTTATTGCCAACAGGTAAATATCTTCTTTGTTTTTGCTCTTTTATGATTGTAAATATGTGTCAGCTGCAACACATTTATTCTGAACCGTATAATCATTTAAATGATAAGGCCAATTATTTATGATTAAATGCATGCATATTTGTAGAGAATAACTGCATATAGATGCAAAAAGGAAGTGTAAAACTTTTTTGCATTTTTGTTTTGTTCTACTTCATATTTTGGTTTCAAATCTATTTTCATTTTTATTTTACTTTTGCTGCATTATAAATGGTAAAACGACAGTGGAATACACTGCTTATCAGTTATGAATATACTGACTGATTGAATATATTTCATGATTCTAATTTAGGATTTAGGAATATTATCTATTATAATTTTTTTTTGGTATTTTCAAAGTTTTTTATGTTGTTTGGAAATAAGAAAGTTGGGATGATTATGATTTACGTACATGTATAATATATTTGTAGTTATTTTCGTAACAATTATGTTGCAAAAATATATTTTTTGCACAATAGTGCCCTTTATTATCACGTTAAGGCTATACAAGTCTTCCATAGACACACATAGGGCCCGGCCTGCTATTCTAACTAAAATATTCGTGAAAACAGCATCGATTCATGCGCCGGTAACATCACCATAAATCAAGTTATATAATTTTATTTAAATTCTTTTTATTTATATATAAACTTAGAATTTGCTTCTCTTATTATATTTTGCACTTTTTTTTTTCTAGTTTTCCTTGTATTCTTTCCTTCAATACAATTCATAAAATTTAATAGGGGAAATTACATTTTAGCCCTACTATGTTTTTGGAGTTTGTCTAATCAGGTAGACCAATCAGTCCATAAGCTTAGGGATTGATTAGACTGATTCCGAAACATTTTAGGGCTAAAGTGTCATTTTCTCAAATTTATATGACTTTTCACTTTTGTGTTGAATGTATATATTTTGATAAAAAAAAATCATCAGCATATATATAATATCCCACATGCACAGGGGATATAATTAAGTACTACGTATAGAAGATTGTGAGATTTCTTCACAGGTCCATTATATATAATTTCTTATGCTAATGGGGTTTCATTAGCTCATAAGAATTTTAGATTCTTTTCTATAAGTCAAAGATAAGAATTAGTGGATCGTTTTCCTTCTCCAAATTAAAAGATATCGGAAATCATAGGATTATATATAAGCTCAAACTAAGTTTTATGATGGACTTCACTCAATTGTAATATTATGTTCATACTTACCATCACTGGCACTTCTAACGACAAGCCCACTATCTTTTGCATTTTCCTGCGCATGGATCTATTTGGTCTTTTTCATGAAAATTGTTAGAACTACTTATGATACTAACTTTACAAGTTCTATTTGAATGTGAAATGTAATTAAGAGATATTTAGCACTCCTTTCCCTTATTTCATGGAACATGGAAGATTGGACCAGACCTCTTTTTGTCCATGTTAATAAGCCACCGAATGATTTTTTATTATTCTTAAGATTTGAAGATTACAATAGAGGATATATATATATATATATATATATATATATATATATATATATATATATATATATATATATATATATATATATATTATACTTTAGTACCATCTAGAATAACATAAATAAAATATTGTTAAATATCTTAAATATATATTGTCTATTATCCCCCCGCAAATTGAGGGCAGGGAACGACCTTGGACCTTAGCATCAAAAATCTTTGAGATCGAAGTGGTTTCATAAACATATCGGCAACTTGATCATGTGTGGAAATAAATTGAACTAGCAACTTTCTTGAGCAACCTTTTCTCGTACAAAATGGTAGTCCACTTCTACATGTTTTGTTCGTGCATGAAACACAGGATTGGCGGAAAGATATGTGGCCCCCAAGTTATCACACAAAAGCATGAGAGAGACTTTAGATGTAATATCAAGCTCGTTTAGGAGAGCTTCTAGCCATGTTATCTCAGCAACTGTGTCGGCAAGTGCTTTATACTCAGATTTAGGGGAAGATCTAAAAACTGTACGTTGTTTGCAAGCATTCCACGATATTAAGTTGGAACCCAAGTAGATGGCAAATCCCTCCATGAGAAACAATCTCAAGGCCCAAGAAATAGTGTAAGTTCCTTAGATCTTTGACAACAAACGTTGATCCTAATTTAGAGATAACACCTGTGATTGCTTGAGGATCATTCCCGGTAACTATAATATCATCCATGTAAACAAGAACATAGACTAAGGTACCTCTATTCTTGAGGATGAACAATGAGGGATCGGTTTTAGAACCAACTAAACCGAGAGACTGTAAGGTTGTAGAGAGTCGTTCAAACCACACTCTCGATGCCTGTTTTAATCCATACAAGGCCCGTTTCTACCACATGTCGGTGATGTCGCTCAACAAGACCATTTTGGGCACTTGTGTGAGGGCAGGAGCGGCGATGGATTATACCAAGAGAAGTAAAGAAAGATGCAAGATTGTGAAATTCATCCCCCCCCCCCCCCCCCCCAAATCGGTTTGAACTTGTTTATGTTTTGTTGTAAATTGTCTTTCAACCATGAGAAAAAAGTTTTTTAAAAGTGATATAAGCATCTGATTTTTGAGCTAATAGGTAAAACCACATGTATTGTGAATGATGATCAACGCATAACAAAAAATATCGGTGACCACTAAAAGAAGTAGATGGGGCGGGGCCCCAAACATCACAATAAACTAAATCCAAAACATGATTACTACGATAATTTGAAAATGGCAATGACAATTTTGAGGATCTCCCCATTTGACAACTAGAACATAAAGAGGAAATTACATGTGAAGAAATAAGTAAAAGACTACGAGAAATAATTGATTGAAAAACACGAGCATGAGGGTGCCCAAGACGATGATGCCAAGTGGTTGATGATGCTTTGGTGGCAGTGAAAGACATATGAGGAAGAGACTTCAATTTTGGTAGACACAACGAATATAGCCCTTGATTACTTGGTCTCATGAGTAGGTTGGAACGTGTAGACTTGTCCTTCACAACAAAAAATGACGAATGAAATTAAAAGAACACGTAATTATCTAAGCAAAATTGTTGATAATATAAAAGGTTATTTTTGATTTCAAGGACATAAAGAACATTAGATAGATTAAATGTTTTGTTGTGGGAGTATAGTTTAGGTGAACCAATGTAAAAATAGGGAGAAGATTACCGTCACCAACATGAAGAGAATTGTTGCCATTGTAAGCATCAGCATTGTCTAAAGCTGTGAAGTCGGGTGTAATGTGACTATTGTTAGAAAAATGGATGAATAGATTGCTTGGATTCTCTGAAAGTCGTGATTCACTATCAAATTGAAGTATTTCGATGGTACAGATCGAACACTCAATTGGATGAAATTCTGAGAATGAAATTTGAGAATGTATATGAAAATGTTCTTCAACATATACCAGAATATTGACCAAAAAACGGATATATCAATCCTGTCTGAAAACTATCAACAGACAGTTACAAACTGTCATAAAACTACCAAACTGTCATTAAACGGATGTCATGCTCTACCCCTTGGACCCCGCCAGGGGCTGCCGCCCCTAGGACCCCACTCCCAGGGGTGCTGCCCCGGACCCCCGTTCGTTTAGGGGCTTCGCCCCTAAATAGCAATGTACTTTAAATCTTGAAAAACTTTAACAAGTGTGCACTCCTACACCATCCTAACTTGTTCAATATTCAACAAGATCACTTTTGGTCAACAAATTTAATCCTATTACACTTAAATAATATTTGATGATATAAAATCACCAACAACTGTTTGACCCAGTGTCGAGAAACCATGTTGAACCGACAGTCGAGCCATTTTCTGAGAATGTTGCATAATTGGCTTGTGACACGTTACGTGTTGAAGCTGAAGTGGGTTGATTTGGGCATTGGGCTGGAATATGACCTATGCCACACCGGTTACAGTGGCCATACACCATATTCTGAGTTGAAGCCCAAACAAACTAAGGTTGACGAGTGTTACCATCGGAACTAGAAGCGTGTAAATCATAACGATTTCAGTTGTAGTTGCCACAAGAGTTGCCACGATGCTAGCCCTGATAATTGTTTGAAGATCGGTTGGTATAAAAGGCATGGGGCTGATTGTTTGTAGCCACAATAGGGCTGATTTGGTAGCCAAGTTGGGCTGCCAGCTGTTGTAAAGTAGTTAATTGTTCTGGTGGGGAAACTGGGAGGCATGAAACAGGTGGGATAGCAGGCGTGAAGGCCTGGGGGACTAATGGAAGTGATCGATTTATCATAAACTCATGATCACTTAATAACCCATGCTGTTCATGGAAGGTTATTGGAGGGAAACGAGCCAACAAATTTGACTTTAGTCCATTATATTCATCACGTAGATTGGAGATGGCTAGCATGGTCAGGTCTTTGTCTTTTACGGGTTCTCCAATATTGGCTAAAGCGGTTGCATATTCCTGTGCTCGAGTGAGATGCGCGGATGATGTTTCATCACCCTTCATATCCATCTTCAAAAGTTGAGTCTTCAATGTGTATTCACGAGAAGAGTTGTTGGGGGCATAGGCTCTTTCAAGGGAGAGCCATAGATCCCGGGAAGTTGCACCTTGAACATGTTGATAGGAAGCTTCTGAAATAGTAGAGGAAAGAAGCATCCGCACGTGTGCATCATTGGTAATCCAATGAAGATAGCTAGGGTTACCGGTGGAGGCCATGTCAGTAGTTGCAACTGTCTTCGATGGAGGACATTGGATGATACCATCTATATAACCGAATAGACGATTGGTGACCAAGAAGGGCTGAATTATTTTCTTCCAGAATCCGTAGTTGTTGGGTGAGAGTTTAAAGGCGAATTTGTGAGTAGTTTTCTCAACATTGGTAAAGGATTGGATCATCGCCATTGAAGAATGATTGAAAGAAAGAAAAATAAAAAATAAATAATCGGTGATTTAGGGTTACAGAGGCTGTGGCGGCTCTGATTCCATAATAAGCCACCGAATGATTTTGTATTATTCTTAAGATTTGAAGATTACAATAGAGGTCCTATATATAAGACTAGATATTAGACTTTAGTACCATCTAGAATAACATAAATCAAATATTGTTAAATATCGTAAATATATACTGTCTATTACTGTCACACCCCCGAACCAGACGGCGGAAACGTCCGAGGGCTATCGTGACTCAATTGAATACCATCACAATGCATATACATGAAACATAACATTATACATCACCAACATTTGGAATGATACAACTGGTAGTGTTTACATCCATTACATTGTTCCAAAACATGACATTCTCAAAAATAACTATTTGATACTAAATTAAACCATAGCAAAACGTCTTAGAGTACAATTCATCCTCCACTTTATCTGTTACCTGAGAATACAAGTATTTTGAAAAACGTCAACATATGAAATGTTGGTGAGTTCATAAGTAATGTTTGAAATCCAATGTTTGTAATGTTTTGAGAAACACCAGAAAATCCGATATTTTCTGAAAATAGTAAAGTCAAAAATGTGTGAAGATCCATAGGTATGCTTGTTTGTTTCTATACTTGTAAAATTTGTTCATTTAAAATTTGTGTGTATTCCGAATCCGTATGTATTGAAATACCCTAGGAAAGCCCGATGTTTTCCTAATTCGTACATTGAAACAATTGCAACGTGTGAAGTTGTCGGTACCAGGCGACGTTGGATTATTGTTGAGCATGATTATTTGCTACAAACACACGTTACACAAACGACTAGTCTATAGCGATACTAACGATCCCGTAGGCGTCGTCCGTACTAATCACGTTCTCCAACCGCCCTGACTACGTGTAGTCCCACATCCGAAGAGAATGAGGACACGAAGGCCTCAGTAACTCCATTAGCCGGTTGGGGATAAAAGGTACGAGGGGTCCCAGACCCGCCTCGCATGAAAATGTAGACTTTACTAGCAATACCAAAGGACCCTTGGGGACCAGTAGTATACGAGCCATTGAAAGTCCTTTTACGTTATGTCGGGTCGGTAAAACCCAACACTTCGTAAGAGAGAGGTCTTCGGGCCTTAAGATCAGGTCATTGGGCTAGCTAGGCTCAACGAACAAGATTTTACACTTTTGGGGCCCAAAGGTGGTGCGTAGACGTCTGTGCACACTCGCATGTATAGTGACTTCCCAATCGTTATTGTAATGTCGTAATGTCATAGTGTCGTCGTGTTAGTAATTTCGGATTTTTATTGGTTCGAGACCGAACCAATTCGTTTGACAACGACTTTTGGTGTTGTAATGTATTGTATTTCGTCGATAGTCGTGGTATCATCATTTGATCAAATTGCATGTATTGAACTAGTCTTGAGAATTTTTTTCTGTTTTCAGCCCCTCATTATTTGTAAAAATTTACTTTTTCAACCCTTTATTTAAAAACTTTCCGATTTGGTCCTTAAATCAATTTTCTTGACATTTTAATACCAAAAATTATTGAAATAAGTATTTTCCAGCATATTTTTCATAGAAAACAGCTTAAGTCCCTGAATTTCAGTTTTTCTCGGTTATAACCCTTCTTTTTCGAAAGTTTGACAATTTTGGCCCAAATTGAAATTTTTTTGCAACTTTAGTCCCTTTTAAATTTAAAAAGCATTTTAAACCTTTGAAAAGGACTTGGAACACTTATAGTCCACTGTTTTACAGAAAAATACAGTTTTGACCCTCCAAAACAGAAAATCTCGCATAATGGGCCTCATTGGGCCTAAAATGTCATTTTTAGCCCATTAAGCTTGAAGTTTATGTTTTTAATCCTCTAAATGAGTATATTTCCAGAAATTGCTTTATTGAAACTGTTTTGACATAGTTCAACCATCAGAATTCGTGATTTGTCAATTTAGGCCCTTAAAGTTTGTATTTTTCGCATTTTAGGTCCAAAAATGGTGTTTTTAGCTCAAAGAAATTGTTACTAAACCATATAGCCATTTTTCTAGAAATACTTTGTATGTAGAAATATAATTGATGCTAGAGTCTTTTAACTTGAGGTATATTTCGGTTTTGAGGGGTTTTATGGCTAGATCCAACATTATAACACACAAAAAGCACACATATAAGCATGGAATCATACAAAGCATACAAAATACATATAGATCTACACTTTCACTTGTATTCCCCCCCCCCCCCCAAAAAAAAAAAAAAAAACTCATGAAAACCGAAAATAGGGGGTATGAAGCTCACCTTAGGATGTAGTTTCGGTTTTTGAAGAGAATATGGAAGAACACTTGGTGATTTTTGGCCTTAGCACTCTTTCCTTGAAGATCTCGAGTTTGAGTGTTTCTAGGGTGTAAGATCATGATTTTTGCATGGATTAGGAAAAGATTTTGATAACAAAAAGAATCTAATTCATAGATCCAAGCATAATCTTACCTTAGATGAAGAATTTGTGGAAATTTCTTCTTGAATGCTTCCTAATTTTCGAGATTTTGAGGGGAGAGGAAGGGATGTTCTTGAGAGAGCTTGAGAGATTTTTGTGAGTGTGTGTGTGTGAGTATGGCCGAGAGTGAGAGAGAGGAGAGGATAGAAGTGATTTTGAAGTGATGTTGCATGGAAATATGGACTAAATTGCATGGATATCCAAGGGACAATAATGAGGTGGCATACTAAAGTCAATTCTCTTCTTATCTTCTTGGATTTGGGCCTTGGGCCGAGATTTTTGGGAGGGAAAGAAAAAAATTGGGCCCTTGCCCCTAAGACCACTATTAGAGTTAATCTTAGGTATTTATTGGCCTTATAAAATAAAATTGTGATTTTTATGCTTTAATAAGCTAGATTAGGTTAATCATGGATCAAAGCTTTCAATTTATTTCATTCTAGGCCCAATATGGCCCATAATATTGAAATAAATGGATGTGGGTCCAATTAGAGCCCAATTAGGGTTCTAAGCCCATGATAGTCTAATTGGAAGCTTATTGGTCCATTTGGATCCAATAAGGGAGTTCTAGTCCAAAGTGGACCTAAATAAGAACTTCTAGGGTTTCTAATTGTTTGTTGACTATTTGAAATGATTGTATGGTGTATTTGATTGAAATTTTGTTGTCACAATCATGGGTGTTACACATGTTCTTAAGCTTTTGATTCCCTTTAGCCTGAGTGTATAGTTTACAAGACACAAAATTTCCAGTTGTGACAATTACATGTCAATGTGTGTTGCTTATCCTTCTATATCTAATGTGCAGGGATCAGTCGAAGGCTGTTGAAGAAATTGTTGAGACAATTTCACAAAAGTTGCATCCAACATTAGTTGAGGATGACAACCTGATTGGAATGAAGGTTCGTATGCAAGATTTGATGTCAAAGTTGCAGATTGGGTTTGGTGGTAAGAGGATGATTGGAATATGGGGGGTTGGGGGTGGTGGCAAGACTACTCTTGCCTCTTCTATTTATGATGATATCTCTAGAAAGTTTGATGGTTGTTGCTATCTAAAAAATGTCCGGGAGGAATCCAGTAAAACGAACGGTTTGGAAAACTTGCAAGAAAAAATTCTTTGTGGTATTTTGAAACAAAATCAAGTGGGGGTAGGGAGAGTTGAAGAAGGAAGACGCATGATAAGGGATAGATTACAACATAAAAAGGTGTTGATTGTCCTTGATGATGTCAACGAGCTTGAGCAACTAGAAGAGTTAGCTGGATCACATGATTGGTTCGGTGAAGGAAGCCGGATATTAATCACCACTAGAGATGAACATATATTAACTGGACACAAAGTAGATGTGATACACAATATTAGCTTGTTAAACGATGATGAGGCTATGAAGCTCTTTTGTAAGCATGCACCCCAGGGTTATAGACGTATAAAAGATTATGAGCAGCTTTCAAAAGATGTGGTTTCATATGCTTGTGGGCTCCCATTAGCACTTAGAGTTCTCGGTCGTTTTCTATGTGACAAAGAGACAAATGAGTGGAGGAGTGCTTTGGCTAGATTGAAAGAAATCCCAGAGACTGATATTTTGGAAAAGCTAAAACTCAGCTTTGATGGACTTACACACCTAGAGAGAGAGTTGTTCTTGGACATTGCATGTTTCTTCAGAGGGGTGTATAAAGATGAACGTATAATGATGAAGGTTGATGCTTGTGGCTTTCACCCTGTTATAGGCATAAATGTGTTGATACAAAAGGCCCTCATAACAATTTCAGATGGAAGGTTTGATATGCATGATCTGGTGCAAGAAATGGGACACTACATTGTTAGAGGGAAACACCCGAAGAATCCTGAAAAACATAGTAGAGTGTGGAAGGTGGAGGATGTTCTAAAAATATGTGCTATGGATGCAACAACGGTAATCGTTAAACTAGTTATTCATGATATATATGTATAGTTAACCACTGAACTCGATCCTGAAACCATTTTGTTCATCTATTCCAGAACCTTGACAAGATCGAAGCTATAAATCTTTTGTATTTAAGGAGTGACAAATCACATGTTTATCATGTCGTAGCAAAAATGAAGAAACTTCGGTCGATTAGTTTGGAATACTATGAAGCATTGTTTGAGACTCCACTATTAATTATAATGCCAGGAAATTTTCCACCAAGGGAGCTTTGTTGTCTAACACTGAGGTTTCTCAATGCAAAACAACTTTGGGAGGGTTACAAAGTAATTCTTATTATTTAATGGATGAAAGCAAAGTGAATGACTAAAATTTTAATATCTATCTAATGTGTCTGTGTGTCTAAGAAGCAAATGTGTCTATAAATGGCTGATTTTAATATATCTCGGTAATCATAAAATGATAAGTTCTTATTAGGACGAATATATGATTTATTAAATGTTATTAGCTTTTGCTTATTTTTATGAAGTGACTATTAATAATTTTATTAGAAAGTTGGTGTTAATGTTATATACATATGATAGTTGGGAAGATTACTTATACATCGCATTATCCAACACTTGTCGGACATGCAGTATGCAACCGACTCATTTATAAAACCTTTATTAAATATACAATGCAAGCTCTCAACTATAAACATATAATTTCATATCTCCTTTGAGGTCCAAAACTAGGTTAGGATCAACAAGACCGAAAAAAATACAACCAGGACCTAACAAACTAAACTGGACGCATATGCAACTATGTTTGGTTGGGTTTTGGTTCTTGATTTTGCTTATGTACTTATTTAAAGGTGGTAGTTTGTTTTGTTTTCAGTATTTATTTTTGCAAATATCGATTCATAATCTAGTCCATTCCGGTTGACAACTGGACCCATGCTTTTTAAACTTTAAAGCATTAAAGTTGAAACCGAATCTGTTTAAATTAATTTATTTTTCGATTTTATTGTTCTAATTTTTTTTCATTTCACTTTTTTTTTATTCGTTTAATTAAAGCTGAAACCGAAAATATACATATACCTATATTCCATGAACCGTTGGCAAAGTTTTGAGTTATGTGCACTTGTGTACACAGTATCTACCAAATTTGAGGATGATCAATCTTGAACACTTGCGGAACCTAATCAAGACACCTGATTTTAATGGGCTTCCGAACCTTGAAAGATTGATGGTTTATGATTCTCCGCTTTTAGAAGAGATTCATCCATCATTTGGACAGTCGGAAAACCTTGTTTGTGTAGAGATACGGAGTTGCGACAATCTTCCGATGCTTCCTCCCATTACCCAGATGAAGCATCTGGAGACTCTTGTACTCTCAGGATGCAGTACAGTTAATAATCTTTCAAAGATCCAACAAAATATGGAGAAGTTTGTACCTCAAAACATGAACTACATAGGGCTATGGTTTTCTAGTGAATGCTTAAGAAAGCTGGATCTCAGGTGGTTCAAATTGGCAGATGGAGTCATCGGATCTCCTGCTGTTTGGGAGTTACCCAACTTGCAAGAACTCAATCTAACAGGAAATAGTTTTGTACGTTTGGATTTTAATCTCTTGCGAGTTCCTCAGCTCCAATATCTCAACATATCACAATGCTATAACCTTGTAGAATCGTCGGATCTTCCATCAAGTATAGCTGTTGTTATAGCGGATGGTTGTAGGTCACTTGAAACCCTTGGAGACATTTCAAACTGCAAATGCTTGTGGAAAGTCTCACTTTCAGAGGAGAACAACCTTGGTCCACATTTTGGTGACATGTTACTAGACTCCATGCTCCAGGTTTGTCTTTTAATTTGAGTTTCATTCTCTATGCATATAAACCCTAACATAAGAAGAATAAGATTAATCATAAACAAATGTGTACTGTGGCAGGGAAACGCCAAACACTACTTTATCAATATCACTATTTCAGACATTGACATTTGGATGGGGTTACCTATAGTTTGGGTCGACTGGGTGAAGACTTATAATATGTTGCTTCCACATGATTGGTACAATCACTTTTCTGGGATTTTGATGTTCGTCAAATCTGAAGCCATTTATATGGAAATTAATATAAGTATGAAGCATGGCTTAGATGAAGATTTTCAATCTCAGCTTTCAAAGGAGTCTAATGAAAGGCCTGATGATCATTCTCGAGAGACATGTGTAGGATATGTTTCATTTAGTTCATTGAGGCACACCGGATGCTTGGATTCAACATATAATACCATTTCGTTTTCCTTATGCAATGAGTATTTGTATGGATATGGGTGTCTGTTTAGGGCTGTACTCATTCCTAAAGATGATCCAATGCAAACAGCAGGTTCATCAGAATTTTGGGATGTGGAGGAAGTTTATGAAAGAAGGGTATTTACCATCCAACATGATGCAAACTCCTCTATCGAGATTTTATGGAGACCTGTCTGCCATTTGTAAACCTATTCCTACATGTCTCTTGCCTAGTCACCAGTTCCTCATTACCACTCTCAACTTTTTATTTTGCATTAGGACATCCACAATCCATTGAACTTCATAAAGTTGAATGGATTGCCACATCATTTTTCTACATTCCATACAACTCAATCAATTTTTTCCTGCAATGCATTGAACTCTACAAAGTTCAATAGAAAGTTACAAAAGCTAATTTATTGTATATATTTAAGATTAACAAACTTTCTTTTTTCCTACTAAAGAGTTCAATGGCCATTGAACTCAAAATCCATTGAATGCCAAGGTGACATCTCACTATGGTAGAGTTTCATCCATTGAATGACAATTAGAATTATCACCTCATTCAACCCTCCTATTGGACTCACCATTGTGGATGCTCTTATTACTACTAAATGATCTTTGGTGCCGGTTTCCTTTTATTAATTCTTTGTTTTCAACCAAAATCTACGTTGTGAAATATATTGAAGAGTCACTTTAGTCTCAATTCCTTGGTGGTTTGTTTATTAGTCATGGTTGTTCTTTCTATTTTAAACGAGGGTTTTAAGCCGGTGCATTGTTGCATTAGTTTAAACAATAATTTTAGTGAACATATTCTTATGAAATTTAAGTTATACCCAATTGTAATTCCTTACCCACAATAGCAATGTACTTTGCATATTTTACTAATAATCTTATAGCAAAAATATAGTGCATTACCCAAATTGGTAGGTAACTATGACAAACTCACAAAAGTTATCATCATCAGATCATCTCTCGTTCTTAATTTCCTCCCAAATAAGTTATTATCTTGGCGTACCTACATCACTTTATTGGGTAAAGCAATAGAAGATATATCATCTAAAAGCATTCCACTTCACTTTATTGGGTAAAGCAATAGTAGAAGATATATGGTTTAAAATCATTCCACTTGGAGTTTGCCCCATTAAAGTTTATCATGGGAGTCATTTACATTCAAGACTGAAGGTTTAATTCCTAATTAAAAATAAAAAACATTACTTAGGGTTTGTTTCTTTTTTATCAAATGTGTTGAATGGGTAAAGTACTCAATCTAAACAACTAAACATGTAATGGCTTAATGGGTTAAGCCATAAAACTTGGCTTAATGGATGAAGGCGCTCACCTTTACTTGAACTCTTTTTTTTCCTCCCAATTTCTTTCACTTCAAAATTAACAAACATTGTGAAATTTGTTATTTGGAATATAAAGGTTTAATGGAAATCTAATCTCATTCAGACACTTATCACTACCCAACCATGACTTATTGACTTATTGGGATAAAAGACAAACATACCCATGATATAAAAGTCCAAATTTATATCTAAATTTACTCACAGGTTTAGGGGTTTGGATTTCAGCTACCAGGCACAAAAGGATTGATTGGGTAAAGAAAGGATGTTGTTGTCTTTTTCCTTTTTCGAATTGTTGAAGTACTTGCTAAAGGTAATGAATTTGGGCATCCATCTTATGTTTCAGCGTTGTAAATTTTGTAAATCATAAATTTAGTAAAAGAAGAATGAAACCAAATACAAATTGTGGTATTTTATTATAATATTATATTATTTTGTTTTGTTTCCTTCTTTAACTCACATAGAGTTACTAATGGTCTATTAAATTGTGGTATTATATTATAGTATTATATTATATTATATTGTTTTTTCCTTCTTTAGCTCCTGGAGAGTTACTAAGATTATCTCTAACCACTTTCATTTTTTCCTTAAAAATGGAATAAGAAATGAGGTAAATAGTATTTATCTCCAATCACACTTTATTTTTTATCCTCCAAAATATATTTATAGTATATTTCATTCTTCCAACTTATATAGATTGTCAAACACACTCATTCTACTAATTTGGTTTTAACAAATATATAATCTATACTCTTTTATTAAAATAGTATTTAATAAATAAGATTATATTTAAAACACACTTATAAATAAATAGTATACATGCATTTATAGAAATATTACACACACACTTTTGATATATATATATATATATATATATATATATATATATATATATATATATACTATTAAATAAATATTATACATATATTTATATAAATACTAGACGAATGCCCGCGGTTGCGCAGAAACATCCGTATAGTTGAAATCTTTACATATATATATATATATATATATATATATATATATATATATATATATATATATACACACCAATAACGTTGTTGTTAAATTTGATATTATAATTTATATACTAAATTGATATAATATATTGATTATTTTGAATTATATGATAATATATACATCTATTACAACTTTATAATCTCAATCGTTTGAATAATTTCTACCCGTGAGTTACGTATGAATAAAATTAAATATAATATGTGGTTTAATGTTATTTATAGTTGTTATTGTTAATTAATTTTTTAAAATTTATATGCTTAATGTTTTAATTTCTATAATTATAATTATTTAACTTATCAAACATTATTTTTTGATTTTAAAGGTAACAATATAATCATTTATATAGAGTTATTTTTAACTATTGTTATTATAAGTTATTTTAAGCTACTTATTTGAAAACTATTAACAATTATAAAATTGATATTACAATTTAGTTTTTGCATTTATCACTATAACTTATCACTTTTAACTATTTACAAAATATTCTTTGGTTTTTTAAGTGGAACTGAAATTTATATTTAAGTTCACATTATAATGTTATATTTAAGTTCACATTATAATGTCATATTTAAGTTAACAATTTAAGTATTTTGTCCAAACTGTTCAAAAGTTGTAGCTTTAAACTGGTAATGGTTTACATATAACAACATATTAAATATAATAAATTAAGTATAATATGTTAAAAGTTAAAGACATAACTTTATAAGTAGAAGTAAAAATATTATTTTAAAATTCAAATTTTGTTTATTTATGATTACACTTTAGATTTTTGATATTTATTTAACCTTATTAACCAACTTATAATCATTATTAGAAAGACACTACAATTTATCACTTTTAAATATTTAAAAAATATTCCTTAGTTTGTTTAACTGAAACTAAAATTTATATTTAAATTGACCCTGTAATGTTATATTTAAATTAATAATTTAAGTATTTTATACAAATTGTTCCAAAATTGTATCTTTAAAATGATAATGGTTTACATCCAATATGTAACAGTCCGGAATTTTCAGGTATTTATTTTGGATTTATTTATGGAAATTGTGAGTGGACTCGGCGAGTTGGAGCCCAGACTCGCCGAGTAGGATCGCGGATTTGGGCACGGGTTCGCGTCTGGACTCGATGAGTCCAAGAGTGGACTCGGCGAGTCCACGTTGTGTGGTGAAAACCTAATTTCCGGGGTTTGCGGCCTATTTAAAGGGCCTTATGGCCATCATTTGTGCTCACCCAACCCTTAGAGAGAAACCCTTGTGTGCTTGAACGTTTTGAGAGAGAAAGGAAGCATTCTTGACCCTTGTGTGTGTCATTTAGCAAAGAAGGAGAAGATTCTAAGCAAGAGGAAGCAAAGGAGGTTGCTATTCTGTGGATTTGAAGCTTAGATCATCAATCTAGAGGTATGATTTCGGATTACTTTCTGTTTTGTGATGAATAATGGGATCTAGGGTTTCTTATGGACATTTATGGGATGATTTGATGCCAAATAGTTCCCTTCTTGTGTTGAGGCTCTGGATTTGGATCCATAGAGGTCCAGAGAGCCTCATTCTTCAAGCTTTATGTATAGTAATGGAGTTTATGACCTTGGGTTGTAGCATTTGAGACAAAAACATCATTTATGGTCATGTAGAGATTGTATGTGCATCAAGATAGTGACTTTACGTGCTAAATATGCTTGCAAGTTTGAGTCATTGCATGGCACGGACTTGCCGAGTTCGAAGAACAGACTCGGCGAGTAGTATGAATGTTGCCCGACCACACAGCGAGTGGTCTTGCCAAGTTGGGGAGGGTTGACTCAGTGAGTCAGGGGGGACGTCTGAGTGGACAGGTGGACTGAGTCAAGCTGGACTCGCCGAGTTGTTCTTGAGACTCGGCGAGTTGAGTCGTGGTGGCCCCACAACTCATGCCAGGTGGAACTCGTCGAGTTAGGAGGATACTCGACGTGTCAAGGGAGGATTTCAGGGAAATCAGTGTATACGCTCAGACTCGCCGAGTCCGGTCAAAGTTGATCGTTGACCGTTGACCTAAGTTGACTTGTTAAAGAGTAGTCAACCTTAGTTGGGAAAGTGTTAATTAGAGATGTATTGTGATATTGGAAGACTTTAGCTCGGGGGATCGAGCACTAGTGATTTCAGGATTCACGACTTACCGAGACGCGAGGTGAGTCTTCTCACTATACTTTACCTTGAGTAGGTAACCAGAGTTATGTGATAGAGTGTTTGTATGCTATGTATGTTATGTGTTGTACTGCATTATTTCTATGTGATTTATGCTGTGCATGTTTACAGAGTTAGAACCTGAGGGTTCACAGAGTTTGGGTGCACGGACCCACAGAGTTATAGCCTCGAGTGGCTAATATGTGTTATATATGGTATTTTGGGGAACTCACTAAGCTTTGTGCTTACAGTGTTTGATGTTATTGTTTCAGGTACTAGTGACGACCGCGGGAAGGCGCCGGCTTGATCCGTACACACACGGAGTTTATACATTTGTGATCTTGGGATTTTGTATTTACTTGAATTGGATAATTAATATGGTTGTTTTATGAATATTAAATGAATTATGTTTTACGAAAATTTGAAAATTTTGTTTTGAAATTTACGGTGTTACAATTTGGTATCAGAGCCTTGGTTTGAGGGATTCGGGTACACCTTCGGGAGTATTTGAACTCAAACTGAGGATTTGGAAAAATATTTTCAAAAGAAAATTTAACTTTTCTAAGAGTAAAAGATTTTTAGAGAAATTCAAGGAAGAAACGTGTGTACGATCAGTCAGCGCCCGAACGGTGATTTCCCAAAATACCCTTATATTATATGTTTATGGTGTATTCTCTTGTTAGAG